GTGTTTGTAGACTTTGATCACTACTTCAAAACATAGATATTGTAACACACACTTGTAACACATTAACTAATGTGTCGCAAAGAAGTTTCATAGGAGCACAAAACTATGTGTTGCAGATGATGATTGTAACACATAGAGCTTATTTTATAAAAATGTGTTACTGATAACGATTATAGTAACACAAATTTAGTGCTACAACTAAAATGCTATAATGAGTTCAGGCATGATGCCCAGTCCGATTCTAAAACTAATTGAAATCCATGGTATGATCATGGGTAAATCTCTAAACATCCAGCAGCACGTGTCCGGACACAATTCAGCGTCGGATTTCTAGATGAAGTTAAGCACATGACATAATTCACTAAATAAATCTCCAAACCGCAAGCCGCGCTCTTTTAGCCACGTAACAAGCTAGATGTTCTATTGCAACAAACGAGTATATTTACCAGTGACTAATAAAAAAATGAGACGCATGAATATAACTCTATAGACTGCCTAGGGTTCTCGAGTAGAAGCCCTGTCCACGTCGCTCTAAATGTTCCTGGCCGTCCGATCTTCAGTTCAACGTCCCAGATTGCTCGAAGCGGATTCTCGACGACAACCGATTCTCGTGCTTCTAGTTGGCTTCTCTCGCTTCTGCTCTACTTCTCTCGCTTCTCGTCTGAATCCGAACAGTCAAATATATATAACAGCTTCAGCTTCTCCTTCCCGATTCTTCTTCTCACCCCGTCTCTCTCTCTCTCTCTCTCTCGCTCTCTCTCCAGGCCTCTTCCTCCCGACGCGGAAACGGGCGTGAGCGTGGCACGGCGGCGCCGGCCGCCCTCCTCCTCCTCCTTCTCCTCCTCGTCCTCCCTCCCTCTCTCCCTCGCCTACCTCTCGCCTCCCTCCCCTTCCTATCTCTCTCTCCTTCCCTCCCGGTGCGGCGGCGGACGCCAACCAAGGCAGCGCCCTTGGCGGGCGGCGCTCCAGCGCGAGTGGACCCCGACGGTCCCCATGCCTCTCCCCCATCCTCCCCATGGGCTCCGCAACGCCTCCTCCCGATGGTGAGCGTGTGCTCCGCTCCTCTATGAAACCCTAGCTATTTCTTTTGACTGAGTTTCCTAAGATGGCTATTTCTTTTGATTGGGTTTCGTGAGATGACGCCAGCGCGACCAAAAGGGACGGATCTAGTGCACCGTATCTGTCATCGACATTGCCAAGTAGTCCAACTCGATTTCGGGAGTTTGCTTGACCAGAGGTAATCACATTTTCCAAACTTCCTTTTCTCCTTTATTTGTCCCTAATTATTGTATACTACACAAAGTCATCGTAGATCCAAAAACATAGAGTAGTACATTTTATTATGTATCGACCATTGCAGCTTCTAAAATTTGTGAATAATACATTGGGCAACTTTTAATTATGAACTTATCACCTACTATGTCCTATGAGGTTTATGAAATCTGGCAACCTCTAAATGTTCACTACGCTTGATCTCAGGGAAAAAAAATTGTTCCAGTCTTATTCCTATCTCATCTTGTGTATCTATGCCTTCTGGTGGTATGAGAGGTGCTGATTTGGTCATGGTGTTGCAGATAGAAGTTGCTATGGGACTCTCTTCATTTGGGAGACAATGCTGGCAGGATGATGTGCCTGGTTGCAAATACAAGTTCATGATGAAGCAAGTGCTCTATCCAAATTCACTCAGCCGGTGAGCCCATCCTTAAGCTAATTTTGGGACATGTTTTCTTTATAATGGCTGTTACATTGAATACTGCCTATATCTATTGACCAGGTGTCCAAACACTCTATTATAGCAGCTTGGTTCTATGGTGACTCTTAATTCATAAGGACCCTTATATATAATGTTCCTTTGCTTTATGGTTGTGCCTACAAGCCACAAATATCTTAGGCTAGATAGATTCCGCATTGTGCCTTTCTAATTTATCTACGTGAACATATATTCTGCTGCCTTTATTTTATGATGGGGCCTGCATATCTCAATTTTCCTTTTAGAACTTAGCTGTGTTGCTCAAACAAGTTTATTCTTTTTTGTCGCTCTTTTTTTGTGTGTGCAGACTTACGCTATCGCTCTTGCCTACTTTCATCGTCTGCTTCGCTTTCTTTGATTTATCAACATATGCTGAATTGCGTCCACAGGATGCCGAGTTGTGGTGTCTGTGTGTTCAACGTGCTGTCACCAGCCTCGCCCTCTGACATGCAAACTGCAATAGGTAATGCAAATATTCTTCAGCATCCTTTCGGCACCAGTTACCTTCCTGTACCATGAAACTTTGATTTGTGCTTCCTTGATGTAATACATATGTAGATCGATTTGGTGGACCTTTAGCTTGATTTTGTAAATTTGTATTATATTTTTTTAGATTGTAGTTCAATGCAGCCGCTACGGGTGTTGCCGACCCTCCGACATGCAAACTGCATATAGGTAACACGCCATTCTTCAACCTCCTTTGGGCACCAAATACCTTCCTGCATCATGAAGCTTTATATTTTTGCATCCTCAATCTTATACACTTGTATGTACATCGATTTGGTTGATCTTTACTTTGATTTTTTAAATTTATATTACACTTTTGGTGGATTGTAGTTTAGTAGAGCTGCTACAGGTGCTACTTGCTTGTGGATTATGAACCCAGTTGCTTTAGATTTGCCAATTACATAAGTTAATTATGGAATCAATCCATGATCGCTTGTGGTCAAGCGAATCCTCCATGAGAAGATAGCAGTGCATGTATTAGACGATACAGTTTTCGATTAGATATTTAGTCTGCTGCATTTTCTTACAAAAGCTAGGATTATAATCTACAATTGTCTCCATAGCACTGTTTTTTTAGTATTGCACCAAAAATGCTATTTTTAGTGTTTTTCCTCTACTTCAGTTCATAGTGTTAAAGCAAGTAAATGTCGTATTGTACATGTTTTCAGGTTCATGAAGTTGTTGTGCAGCACAGGGGAGAAAGATTCAACGAGGTTTCACCATTGTTACATATTTCCCCCTTTTTTGTCAAAGTCTCCATTATTTTGGCAATGTCAACAACAAATCATTCAGAATTGTAGGGATGCTACATGAGGTAAGGCATGATGCCTAATATACCTGGGAGATTATAACCAATGACAACAAAACTAAACTACTGATTTCACTATTTCCCTACAAAAATAGTTTGACAACCATATCGATGTACATTTGAATAGTTGGATGGTCGAGGGTGAAGCTAGGCTATTCCCTCCCCATCATAGTAGTCATGGTGCTGGTCTTGGAGAAATTGCATTCTTAGTTACCAGACAACTAATGTTATTGAATAAATTTGTGTTCTTATGATCATTTTCCCATAATGAATTCGATCCAATCCTCTTACATGCTATATGCTGGATCCACATGGAAATCCAAAACTGAATGTTGGTCTCTTCAGTCATAAGACAACTATGACCTTTTTTGCCTTTACCAGCAACCTGTTGCCCTCTTGCAGGACTATCTAAATTTGGCTAGGTTCTTTTTCCTGTGTGCACACCCCTGAACTTGATATGAACACTGATATAGAAGCTTTGTTAAAACCTAATGATATTGCTAAACACTTGCAGATAAATCAGCTTGCATGAAGCCACTGTCCTTATGCCCTGACAGAAGCAAGAGCATAACCCTTCTTTTCCTTTACTTTTGAGGTTCTACACCTGTGGTCACCAATTACCCGATGCCTTTTTCTTCAAATTTATTACAGTTTCCTACAAGCAGTGCCCTTTCATGCTACTTTTTTTGTTTCCTATGTGACGTACCTTTCACCTATATTCTTGATTCATTTCAACTCAATATGCAAGGTTAAAATTTAGGTGCACAAAAGAACCAGTACTGCAATTTATCGTTTTTTAACTGTTCAGCAAGAATTCCTTCTGCTTTCATTCGTTTCACTTGAAATTTATAATTCTTGTTTCTTCTTTTATTATGCAAGGTGCGGACTAGACAAAATCATCCATGTTTCACGTTCGTCAACATGTTGGTCATGAGATCATAGTTGATACCTCCAATGCATTGCTGAGCCTTTTAACTAAGGTATTGCCGAGCCTTTTAACTTTCTTGCTGTTACCTGAACCTGCTATGTCCACGTCATTATTTTGTGTGCTGGTGAGTGTTGTTGTTGTACTCCATACAATCTACCACTGTCCAGTTCTTAGTTGTATAGTTTATGCGTTTAGGTGCCTCCTTAAATAGTTTAATATCTTTGTGCACACACATGAATGGAGCAGATGTAGCTATTTGTGTTTGTTGGCTATGACACCAGATTGTGGTAGTGGATGCAGTGTAGCTTCGAAATAATATTTGACGATGGACTCATTTAAATTAAAATGAAAATATATAAATTCTGCAGTTACACAAATGCACAATACCAATTGATGCTGTGAGCATTGCTTTTTCCGGCAGATCTCTTGTAGAAGTAATTTTACTTTCAGTCAGTTGTTGTGTTATCTGCTGTTGATTACCCTTTTCCTTTTTCTCATATTTTGGTTCGTTCCCTGCTCCTTCCTGCGGCTAATGTCCACCATCTATCTATTGTTACGTACCATGTCAAGATTACCAAAGAGTGGTTTAATCGTGTATATGTTTATGGTTTAATCCTTACCACGTACGACAAGTACAAAGGCCATACGATATCTTTTAATATTAAGCATGCAAATACAATCCATTAGCTACATATAATACTCTCCCTAACTTACGTACATAGCATTGTGTATCTTGATTGATAAGAAGCATCAATATATCAACTAATGCGTGCATGGCAATAGTGTTTGTCACCTAAAGTGGAGGACATGGTTATGAACTTGAATACCAACTTTTTAGAAGATATATTTATTTTGCAAATAATTAATTAGTTACAAGAATGAACGGGGATATCTACAGTTTAGCTTAGCTTGATTATTTACCATACATTTTCCATGCAACAAATAATCATTTCTGCAGTCTTAATTGGCACACGAACTTTTATTGCATAACTTCCAATGCTTCCAACATGTATTTCCACAGGCTAACTGTAAATTGTGTGATCATGTTAAAGAGGACTACTTCCATGCGTGTTTCTTGTTTGCACATGCTGCCGGCCTTGGATTTGAAATGCGTAGACACTAGATTTTGCCTGCAGATAATGACATCAGTTGAACAGAGCTTTGCACCCGAACTGGCTGCTTGTGCTTCTGTCTACCTGTTCAAAGGAGGTAAAACCAAATTTTCTTAGTGCTCATTCGGAGGCATGGTTCCTTAGTACGATATTGTAAAAGCTAATGTCAAGTCACGCATTAAAAACTCAGTCATGTTCCTGACCCGATATATGGATTCTCTGCTTCTTATCCGACAACAACGACAGAAGGTGGACTGCAATTGCGAAGGGAAGAATCTGATGCTCTTATATCGTTACCACAGTACCCTGCTAAAACCAAAGAAACATGACGCAAGACCTGCACTGGAAGGGCCAATGGAAGCTAACTTCATTGCAGTTTCTTATCCATTGCAGGAACCTCAAAAGGCGGCGGTTTGCCTTCAAGGCTTCAAGGAATCATTCTAGCAGTTTGCTGGCCTCACTGCCCTTTTATCCTAGAGACAAACTGTGCCGTGATGGCAGACAAGCTCAAAGCCTTGTGCCATGACAAATCACTGCAACAACCACTGATTCAAGAAGCTCTCCCTGACAGTAAAGCTCTTCGCCGCTTAGAAATGTAAAGATTCAATGGGATCAGAGTAAAGTGCGTCAAAGTAGTGCACGTGCTGTTGTACATGGCTATTAGAGACCATGAGGACCGAGTGTTTTTTTTTTGTCTCTGAATGTTGGTTTTCTCATTTGTTCATGACATTAGACCGTAACATTAACAAAACTCTGCTTAAAAATTTATACGCGCGATGGCACATTACTCCCCCACCCCCCTATTTAATTTACTTTAGATACAAAGGGGACAAAAACTTGCTTAAACCAGACAATCCATATACTGTTTACAAGCACCTAATGCGGCGCGCGAGGGCGCGCCCCTTCCACTAGTCTATGTAAAATCATTGACGCACATCTTTCTTTGCGAAGGTAATATACAAAATCGACCACACATAAATTTGAAGGCAGATTCCATTTGGACCCTGAAGCTAGGTCGATATGTGCGATCCTAGCCAAATACGAGGAGCGGTCCTCGTCGGCTGAGCCCATCCCATCCCAGCGACGAGAGTCACACAGGCGGGCCTAGTTTTTTTTTTTTTTTTTTTTTTGAGAATTCACAGGCGGGCCTAGCTGGACCTGAGCGCCGAGAAGTATTGTTGCAGGACCGCCTGGGTCGTGGACGTGGCCTCCTGGGCTGGCAAGCTGGCGGAAGCCTGATGGAACGGCCGGGCCAGCTCAAAAAAAAAGGCTCATTTGTTTTCTGTGATCAAACAATCTGGAAAAAAATACGAGTGTCGGCTTACCCCATATCCGGCTTGTTCGGCTTCTTTTTTCAGCCGACACAGTGTTTTTTTCTTACAACAATTCAGCAAGAACAGTGTTTTTCAGCCAGTTTCAGCCAAAATTCTGCCAGCCGAACGGGGCCAAAAAAAAGCTGGTGCTAAGTGTTAAATGGAAGACAGACGAGAGGCAGAGCTACAGATGGTGACGGGGACCGATCCTCGATTCTGCTCGAGGAATTCCAAGAACAGGAACGGGGGCAATTTAATCTCCGCAGGATTAAAACGGGAAAAATTTAGTCCTGGTCGGGTTCACGGGACGGAGATAGGAAACCATCCCGGTAAAGTTAAATGTGCCTTTAAGGGCATGTGCTCACAGCACATTTATCATTGGATTCGCTCTCAATGTGAATCTAATGGTGGGTGTGCTAAGAGCACATGTCCTTAAGGGCCCAACCATCCCCCGTCTTATTCCCTGCAAACTCTCCCCGTGAACTTGCTCTTACTCTAAATCAACTTCCTGGCATGTTAAAATTCTACCAAAAAGTCAACCCATAGCCTCGTATAAATAGCAAACTAAACCATAAAGTAGATGTCACTTGTAATATGAAATTTTGTTCGTTCAAGTTATATTGATTTGACACCACGGATTTTTGTTTGCTCTCTAAACATTGCATTTAGTAACGGGGACGGATTCCCCGAAGGGATAAACGCGCAGGGGACCGTGATGGGAGGAAAAACTCCCAGCAAGCGTTCGCGGGTCAGGGATGGGGAATTTTTCTCCACCCGGGAACGGGGATGGGGAGCCATCCCACGACGGGGAAGTCCCCCTTCCTCTGATCTGATCTGTTCTGTTCTGTTCAGCTGTCACGCCTGTGAGAAGACTCGCTCTCGTTGCTCAGCTTTTGGCGTCGTTCGCTGGTCTGATATTTTCAGACCAGCCGACTGCTTCCTCTCACAAATCACTATGCATCTTTCAGCCGCTACAGTATTTCTCTCTCACACAGCCAGCCAGTTTCAGCCAAGTTTCAGACCAGCGAACGGGTGTTTTCGTGAGTGAAGCGCAGGCACGTACTGTTTGCTCGCCATCACTCCGTCATGATTGGCTTGCGTCCCAGGCGTTTGGCGGTGGATGGCAACCAGGAAACCAACACCCGTCCCGTCAGCTAGCCCAGCCTCTCCTCGCCGGCCGCGCCAGGCCGGCGCGGGTGCTTCTCCATTCGTTGCGGGCGACGGACGCGGACGCGCGCCGCCAATCATTGCTCGCATGGCCGGCACCCCCGGGGAACGCGCGCCAGAGCCAGGCCAGTGACCGCGTGCCCATCCCCGTCGTTGCGGTTGTGTCAAGGACGGACAGTGTCCTCGGCGTCATGGGTGGGAGCGTTGATGATCGTTTCCCCAGGCGGGGGGGCAAGGCTTGCACACTAGGGGCGCATTTAGTTGACCGGAATTTGGATGTGCAAAGTTTGCATAGTGCCAGATTCACTACTGTAGTATTTCGTTTGTATTTGGTAATAATTGTCTAATCGTTGACTAATTAGACTCAAAATATTCGTCTCGCAAAGTACAACCAAACTGTGCAACTAGTTTTTAATTTCGTCTACTTTTAGTATTTTATGCATGTACCGCAAATTTGATATGACGGGGAATTTTCTTTTTACATAGTGCCAAAGTTAGGATGTAAACAAGGGCCAGTACGTCCTTTGTAGTCGGCCCACTCACGCAACTTGGGCCTTATTTAGATTGAAACTTTTTTCAACCTGATGAATAGTATCACTTTCGTCTTATTTGGTAAATATTGTCCAATCGTGGACCAACTAGGCTCAAAAGATTTATCTCGTGATTTTCAACTAAACTGTATAATTAGTTATTTTTTTACCTACATTTAATACTCCATGCAAACGACTAAAAATTAATGTGATGAAGAGAGAGTGAAAAAACTTGAAACTTTGATGGGATCTAAACAAGGCCTTGTGTGTCGAACCAACGGGGAAGGATTTGACGGATTGATTTGATCAGTCGAGATCTCGCCACGTAAAGACTCGCGATCGGCTCTCCAGTTTGGTTCTTGGCACGGACAATCTAGCAGGCGACGTACGCTGTCGCTGACTGCTCTCCCGCTCCGTCACGGCCATCCATCCGTTTGCGTGGCGCAGTCGCGCAACCAACACCCGTCCCGTCGGCGGCGTCCCATCCCCTGCATCTGCAGGCAGATCAGCCAGACTGGCAGAGCCGGGCACGGCACGCGCACGCTTCGTTCGCCGATGGACGACGACCGCCGACGTGGCGCTGTCCGTCTGCCGATGGACCGGACGCCGCGTGCGCACGCAGCCCTGCGTTCTCTCGGCGCGGCAGCTCCTGTGTGCTGGGCCCCGGAAATGTTCCGTCAATTTCCTAGGCAACCAGGTGACACGGCAGCCGATGTGCATGCACTTGATGCCGCGCGGGAGCTTAGCGGCTTGGTTAGTGGCCCAAACGTTTTCTTTCGCCCCGTTTCATGTTCGTTTGATCCCAAAATTATGAAAACTGAACGGGATTAAATCCACTGCAAGTCAAAATTCTTCTCGACTCCTACGGTTTTCATAAGAAACGAATAAGGCCATTAGATTCAACGGGAGTTCCAGACCATCATCTCTCTGGGCCACGCTCCATTACTCCGGTTCCAATGGTGGGCTTGCCGTGAATTCAACACAGAAAGCTATGCCTCTCTCATGGGTGGGATAATTATGTGTGGACCCATATCTAGGGATGGAAACGGGCGGAAAAACGTCTCTCCCGTTTCCATTTCTATATTTTTTAGCGGAAACATACTGGAATCAGAAAAAAAACGAAATTAAAAACGGATGGGGATATACGGAAATATGAAAACAGACAAATACGGCTGGAGAGCTGAAAAATTCAGTTAGAATAACATGATGAAATATTCTCTAGAATACATGAACAAAGTCATAAAATAATATACACATAAGAAGTTGTCGGTCCAATATTCACTAGCATGCCATGTGTTAACACGTTAACATGCATAATTGGTGATCAGTAGGTTTACGAATATATCAATTTCTATGCATATCTCACATGGATAGAACACGGGATGAAAAACGGAATAGATACGGGTCAATTCCGAATAAAAATGGGATTCCGCGGAAACGGACGAAAAAAAAACCCTCTCCCGTTTCCGTATTTACGGAAAATGGATCCCACAAATACGAAAACGAGAGGATCAGAATAGAAAACGAAACGGGTCAGAACGGGATTTTTTCTGTCCGTTTTCAACCTGACCCATATCGTTAAATCGTTGACACAAGTTTATAGTTCCTCCATGAGGATAGCCTCCACTAGATTTTTTACCGTCTGCATAGTATTCTGTTATCAGTAGGACTATCCTCGTGGAACAGCCATGGACACCTACCCTAAATTCATGACAACGTATCCATACCTAAGCATCCAATACATGTGACTGTTGTATAAATTTAGAAATAACAATTAGATAGAAAATTATTGCATCTGAACCATCGGAAACTTATGAAATTCCAAATTCCACCACCAGCTCACCTACCAAATTCCTAAAGCTGACGCCCACAAGCTCTCCTTCGTCTTCATTGCTAAAATCTGGCCATGGAAGCCAATGCGAGTTGGAAAAAAAAGGCTATGTACCAAATGGTTAGCTTTTCTGGCTCATGCTTTCTCAAGAGGTAACTGCAATGGGAAGTTGGTTGAAAACACTGACTTTTCCTAGATTTTCAAGCGTTCAGTGGGGGGCCGCTGGCTTGGTTAGCGGCCCCGTCATTTTCTTTCGCCCCCCTCCCCCCACTGTTATGGACATCAGATTCAATAGGAGTTTTAGACCTTCATCTCTTGGGTCGTGCTCCCTACTCCGGTTCTAATGGTGGTGCTTGCCAAGAATTCTAGACAGAAAGCTACGCCTCTGTCATGAGTTGGATAATTATGTATGGACCCATATCGTAAAATCCTTGATAGAAGTCTATGGTTACTCCATGAGGATAGTCTCCACTAGATCTTCTACCGGCTACGTGCTATCCAGTTTGGAAAAAATTGGTAGGACTGTCCTCGTGGGATAGCCATGGAGACCTACCATAAATTCATGACACGTATCTATGTATAAGCATCCAACACATGTGACTATTGTATAAATTTAGAAAGAACAGTTAGAAAAATTATTGCATCTAACGCGTTGGAATCTGGTCGTGGAAGCCGATGAGATTCCAGGTTCCACCACCCCGAGCTCATCTACAAAGCTCCCAAAGCTAACTCCCACAAGCTCTCCTTCGTCTTCGTCG